GAAATTATATATTTATAGATAAGAAAATAGATTAAGATTATAGATTATATATATTTCTATGTTAGATTATACAAGAAATGCATATTTATTACTTTAACTAAATTTTTCTCTTTCCAAATAACTATAAAACATTTATCGATTCTTTCTTTCAACAAAACGAGAACGAAACAGCGAATAAGATAAATGAATATTCACCTGCAGGATTAATATCTAGCAGTCTTTGATCCTGAGTTCTGGTAGGCGTTGGAGTAGGTATGCTCCTTGTGGACTCCAAGTCCAGCAGATTCCTAATTCTTCTGACTGAGGTTGCACGTTGGCTCGCGGAGCTGCTTAATGATGGTTTCTGGGTCGCGAGCGACGAGCGCGCGCTCGACGCTACCGACGCTGGCCTTGGATTCGTTGCTCCGCGATGGCACGTCGAGCTGATCGCTGTCGACGCTCTCAGATTCGCGAGATTCACCTGTTGGGCCGACGCCGATCTCGTTGACAGGCGATCGAGCGTACTCGAGAGCGGTCTGTACGCACCGTAACTGCCATAGTCTCCCTATGTAATACAGAAAACAAGTTTGAATTGATATATTTAAATATTAGGTTAATCAGAAAGTCTTTTCGTATTTTTAGTCGCCCTACTAGGCGCGTCTGCACTCGAAATAAATCATGAGAAGGAGAGGAAAGGACGATTATTTTGAATTCACCTAACCTCGCCGCACAAACTGTTGCAGACGAAGAACGCCTGTGAGTTATTGTAAGTTTACAAAAAAAAATCGCAAAATGGAGCTTTCAAAGCAGCAAATTAGATCAATTTTGTTGTACGAGTTTAAAAGGAACATGAACGTATCTCAGATTCGATATTGAAATTTGTGTGAAACTTCCCAACAAGATATGATGACCGTCAAGTCATACCAATTTTGGCTTGAAAAATTTCAAAATGGTGATTTCAATCTGGAGGATGAGTCCAGATCCGAAAGACCTTTGGTTATCGACAAAGAGCGCTTGCGAAACAGAGTCAAAGAAACTTAGGATATTATCACTCGCGAGCTCGAGGCAGAATTCGGGGTAGCTCACGAAACCATTCAACAGCCTCCATCAACTTAGCTTCTTATCAAAATAGAAGTGGATGCCGCATGCATTGAGCGAGAGAAACAAGCTTGACCGCATCTCCAAGTGTGTTATATTGCTCACCGACATCGCAACGAACCTTTTCTTGATCGACTGATTATGTATGAAATGGATCTTCTACGATCATGTAGTACGAAAATGAAGTTGGTATGAGCCCGAAAGTTCAGCTCAAAAGACTCCAAAGCGAAACATCATGAAGGGCAGAAGATCATGTTAAGTGTGTGGTGTACGCGTGGAATTGTCCACTACGAGCTCTTACTAAGAAACTAAACGATCAATACGGACCTCTACTGTCAGTTGGAAAGAGTTCAAACAAAACTCAAGGAGCTCCGGCTCCAACTTGTCAATCGTAAAGGTATTCTTTCTTCCACTAGGACAACGCTCGCTTCCATGCGAGCGCACTCACAAAAAGATGAAAAATCGGAGAGCTTAATTGGAAACTTCTCGAGCACTTACTGTATTTTCCTGATCTCACGCCATCCGATTATCATCCTTTCAGATCCCTGTAAAATTTTCTTAACGAAAAAAATTTGGATTTAGCGGACAAAGTTCAAAGAACGTTGGATCTTTTCTTTAATTCCAGAACTCATGCCTTTTTCAAGGAATTCTCAAGTTTGTAGATCGATGAGAGGAAGTCATTAAATGAGAGGTGGAGATTATATTAATGATTAAAATAAAAGTTTTTCGTGAAAAATAAATTTTTTTCTTTTTGTATAAAATACGAAAAGACTTTCTGACTAACTTGATATATAATAAAATATATAATAAAACGTCCTTCAAAATTTAAAATTTATCACCGTTAATCTTTAACTACGAACGTGAGTAGTAGACCTCAGAACTCAATGGAAATTTGTGTTCATTGAGTATGTGCGTGCAAAAATAAGTTCTCTTGTAAATACTTTCTAAATTTCGTGGAATAAAAATTTACTCAAAAACAGTAGAATCACAACTAAGTCATCCGAATTCGAGTGATCTTCCACTCATATAAAAATGATATCTCCGTTCAAAATCTTCAAGTAAATATTTTTACTCGATATTGAAAAATCAATCTAATACATTCCACCATTATAAGAACAAATTTGCTTTAACCAAATAAAACATTCACTCGTATAAGATCAGAATGAATGTTTCACTCAAAGCTTGAGTGAAACATTCATTCTTACGATTCCGAGTAGCAATACTTTTACTATTATTTCGAATGAATTTTCACTTGTTTTAAATGAGATTTTACTCCAAAAAACTAAGGCCTATATTAATAGTTGGCAGTAATCGTGAAACTTGCCTCAGTTACTTATAAGTGAAACTTGTGAGATACTCACATTTTTATTCAGATTTGGGTCCAAGTTTTTCAGTTGGATTCTGATATATGTGACATTTGTATCTGTAATAGCGATTTAACTGAAAAACTCTCATCTAACTCTGAATTAAAATTCGAGTATCTACTTGAACTCACGAGTTTCAAATAATAATTATTAATATAGTTCTTACAGAGTAATTAATCTCTAAAAAGTAAGGGATGTATAATCCCTATTTTTTGAAGAGTAACGATTCATTCTTTGCATTCAAGGGCAGTTCTCAGTTCTAATTTAGTGCAGCAACTTGAGCGACAAATAAGAAACGAAAATAACCATTAATTTTTTTTCTCTTTGTATTATAGATATGAATGTATTATCTAAGTGAATCTCATAATATTACTCTATGTATTTTATAATACCACATTATTTTAAGTTTAGTCTAGTTTCAGCAGTTATAAAGATAGGTTCATTTTCAACAATGTGGGATCGCTAGTATTCCATAGCAAGAAAAGCTTCGCGAATGTAAGGAATTGAAACAATATTTAAAATTGGAAATACATTGTTTTGCTAATTATTCCAAGAAGTTTCTTGGAAGCATCCTCTTATAGCTCCGCAGTAAGAGTGCGGAACTATACATTGAGTACACAACTAAAGGTGCAGCTACTAGTGTAACGAAATTAACGGTACCCGACCGACTCTAGTCGGGCGGCTTCGAGGCTTACGTGATTACACGGATACCTGATTGACGGCTGCGTGAATGTTCTCGGCGCTGTATGTGTAACGGGGTGGTCTACTTGTGGTCGCCCTGATCTGCTCGTATAGGGCGCTGGTGCTCGGCGTGCGGCTCAGCCAGGCGCGGTACTCGTCAGACGTGAATACGCTCGGCGAGGATGGTATCCTGCCTGTTGCGGTTTATCGACACGGTCAGTGCAGCCCGCCGGCTATGTGTACTCGCAACTGCGTACTCGCGGTAATGCAGTTATCGCGTCCCGCTCTAGGGCTTACCTCTATCTCGTCTGATGGAAGGCAATTCTGGCGCCGACAGAGCACCGTCGCTGTCCTCTTGATCGATCAGGCCCGACGCGACCGTGCTGAGGCCCGACCTGAGACCAGGCTGCTGCGGCAACGTCCGACCGCTTCGTGGTAGCGAGTTTGACCTTAAACCTGCGCAAACCGATATTACGATTAAACGGCTTGGATAGATTTTGGCTTGCATAGAACAGTTCCTATCAAAGAATTTGGGATTGAGAAACAGGAATGAACTGGACGATATTAACAAAAATAATTCAATTACTTTTCTTAAATAAAAAAATCAAGTTTTCTCCCTCTGCTTCGTCATCTCTCCCCTCTGGTTGGTCAACTTTCACTCATTTACTCAATCACACAAAAGCGTTGGTAAAAGATATATTTCTAATTTCTTTTCGTGTCGATAGATCACCTTTCTCTTTGATATATTGCGACTAAAATGTCAGTTACTGGAATTTCGTCAAACATAAATCAAAATGGAGTGCCGCGTACACGTCGCGCTACAAAGTTGTGTTCTTATGCACACATCCGAAAAGGCCGAAAATGTTGCCTTTAGCTGTTGCCAAATACATGCGCAAATCAAAGTCGTTTGTTCAAAAGTAGGTGAAGCGTTACGAGAATAAAAGTAATAGATGATTTGCCAGAACATGGCCTGGCGCAAAAGTTCATCGATAAAGAGATTAAAATAGCAATGAGTATGTTTTCGAAGAATCCTACGTTACGCTGTGTCAAAGACAAGCAAAATTGATAAAAAAGGTATAGAAGTGTTATATGAATCCATCCGACGTTATCTCCGTGCTCATAGTGTAGTACGATCAAAAAACTCATCAGAAAAGCACGTGAAATCACGATTTCCAAATGGAAGCAGGAATCGAGCGTCGAGATACTGAATTGGCCATTACAGTCACCCAATGCGAATCCCATCGAGAATGTATGGGTCATATATTAAGGGAAAGCTTCGTGAAAGAAGGACTTCTATTTTAAAAGAGTTGTCTGCAGAAATTCGTCGTATTTGGAGATCTTTGCTGCAAAAGTATACAAATTTAGTGCTACGAAGAGAGAGAGAGAGATGCCAGTCTATTATAGACGCTAGTGATGACTGGATTCTTTATTAATGTAATTGCAATTTAGCCCTAATTCTGTAGAATATAATCAATGCCATTTAAATGCTAATAAATATATTTTTCTTTCTTTTAGGTCGACCATGCTCTTATGTGACTAATTGTATAAGAGACACTTACCTAGAAGCAATTTAATATCTAATTACTCTTCTCTTTTAAAGTTCCTAGCGCCTCGTATTGTTTATCTTTTTTTAATAACGTCAAAAACGAGAAAATACATGCTAAAAATTCTTGCGAAATAAGTTGGAATAAATAAATAAATATATATATATATATATATATATATATATATA